TAAATAGGGGGCGCCATTTCACTTTAACGGTCCCATTTCAAACATTACAGGAAACATAGAGGGCGCTATTTTAGTTTAGCGGTCTCTCTCACGCTTCTGATCACATTAAAAACGTTACAGATAAAATAGAGGGCGCCATTTCACTTTAACGGTCCCATTCAAACTTTACCTAAAAATAGAGGGCGCTAATCTACTTTAACGGTCTCTCCCACGCCTTCGCTAGTCCCCCCCCCCCCCCGGGCGGGCGGGGGGTACGAGCGAATCCCACGCCCCGCTTCAAATGGTACAGATAAAATAGAGGGCGCCATTTCACTTGAACGGTCTGAGCTTAGACTAGTTTCCAGCTAGTCCCGCCAGCTCTTCGTACTTCTGCAGATTATACAGAGGGTACCATAACACATTAACTGGTGATCGGGGTGAAGGATACGGAAGTTAGTTCTGTTATTTTAGTTTTTTTTTAATATTGACGATTAGCATTTCCGCTCTATATTCAGTAGGTTTGTTATAGATATTGGCCGATCAATTTTCTTTTCATTCCAATGAGAATTTATCGTGCCTTTCCTGCTCATTTGAAGCAATCTGTAACATTTGCAGAGCATCTGTTCCTTGCTCTGTTGTTTTAGTAGGCCTAGATCATCTTCAAGGAATAATACGCGTGTGTGCGGGCCTTTTTCTTCCCCGAGATGGCATTTTTACTGAGTTGGTTGCCTGTTTTTTTCCCCCTTTGAAATTGGACATTCGAATCCATTTTTAAGTTAAAAGTCTAACAGTGATATAGTCGACAAGCATGAACAGGCAACATTCGAGTTAATTTGGTAGTTATTAAACTCTATAATCTCTATTGAACAGGACTTTATGTAGACTTCAATTCGGCAAGTATTTCTCAAATTTCTTTTGTTTTAGTTGCTTTTACCTTCAGCTTCGACTGTTTCACGTCCACCTAGACCTACTGCAAATTAATGCCCTATTGACAGCCTCTGCTTTCGTTTAAAGTTTCTGTTGGATTTGCATAATATATTTTAGTTAATGTAGCAACAAAATACCTAACAGAAATAGTTTTATAATGAAGCACCCAAAAATAATGTGATTAGCCTGGGGGAAGATAAGTGTTGGACATGTAACCCGAAGGGCTGAAGTGATAAAGCGCCCTCTATGTTATTGAAGCATTTTTGAAGAGGGGCCGTTGAAGTGTTATGACGCCCTATATATTATTTTATTAATGGCAAGTTCGATAAAGGACCACCGTCTGATAGTTCGACTAACCCTGATCGAACGCACGCAGGTCGATGATGGTTGGACTAGTATAGTCTAGTCGACAATTCAGGATAACTGGTTAAAAAAATCCCCCCCCCCCGCAGCCCCATGCAGGTCCGATGTTGGGATTTGGTCACGTTTTTCATGTCCCTGGGTGGGGATTTTGGTCACTGTTGTTACCATTGGCGTGCTACATGGAAACGCATTTACTAGTACGCCCCACGTATGTATGTCGGGGCATGGTCGGGGATTGTCACTTAAATTTTGCCCGAGGGGTGGGGATTTTGTCACTTCAAAAGTGACAATCCCAACGTCTTGGGTGGGGCAGCCCGGGTGGGGGAGGAGGGGTGGGGGAAACAATAATTGATAGGCGCATAATAGCCATTAGTAATAGCATAGTGCAGAAGAGAGCAACTGTATCAACAAAAATGGCAAAAAACCCAAAAAACTGTGACTAGTGTGAGTGCTACTTTTAATGCATAGTTTTCCATGACATGTTGACCATGTGAAGTTTACGATTCTCTCACTTTTATCGCCCGAGTTGTTGTACAGTAATAATGGCGATTATGTAAGGTGTCCTAAACCACACAATCAGTATTATTAATATTAGCCGATATGCGACCGCCATTTTCTCACGGTCGTTGGCATGACAATTAATAGATCGACAAGAGTCTAGTCGTTTTCAAAAAGAGCAAAAGCGATAATATATTTAAATTACGCTCTTCAACTTTACTTCAGTTAAAGTGTTATAGCGCCCTCTATTAATTATTGTGACAGTCGAGTAGGGGCCGTTTAAGCTATATGGCGCCCTCTATTTATTGTACCCGTTGAAGTACTCGTAGATATCTGAAAGTGGTAGGTGACAGATATTAAAAATATATAGAGGACTATTGCCAAGGAGAAACTGTCTGGGGCAACGCCATATCCGAGCAATACCAGTCGGGGGGGGGGGGGGGGGCAATAATCTCCGGACAAGCTTCATAGTATTGTTGATGTACCCATGGAGGAAGGAATATACCCTAACAGGGCGTGGCCCCTGATGTGGCTCACTTTGATTTTACGCCTCAAGTACCTTGCTAGACCAAACTTTTTACCACAAATTTCAAAGTCAGTGTAATTTCATCCCGCTCTAGGCCTAAACATTCCCGTTCATAAATTTTGAGTTCACATGTATGGCTGCTACAAAGTTCCAGAGATATTCTATTTTGGCGTGATTGTTTAATTTTATTTAGAAGTGCACAATGAAACCTTTCAAAATGCGCCCCAACAAAATAAGAAAAATAATTTTCTGACAATTTTGTACTTGGGTATGCGAGTGAAGATAATGATTTATCAGAATTTATCAACGATAACAAAAGATCTAAACTGTTAACATGGGATTTCCCGAGATTTGTACAAGTGCGCCACGGAATAGGGAACACTCGGCCGAATTTGTGCCCAATTTCCGGACGCCACTGTTTTTGAATTTTGGACTAAATTTCACGGCACAGTCGACGGAAGTGTTGAAGTGCGCCACATAAGGGAACACCACTATAATAATAAATATTATAGGTGGAGCCGAAAGAATTGTTTCTTGTCTTAGAGTGTATTCTATCTTCCCTTTATATCATATCATGTGCGCACCCCGTCTCCAGTTGCCATATTTAAAAATGTTATGTCAGTTTTTTTTTTTTTACGTTTGTAGTAATAGCTTGACCTCCCCAACCACTGAAATAAAAATACAAAAAATTACAGACAAAAACAAATGACAATCTACTGAGGATTATTAATGGTCTCATTTCATTCAGTTTTTATTCTTTTCACCTGATTGACATACAAATTGTTTTTAAACAAATTCCTTACAAAACAAATACTGATAACGAATTCCAGATGAGGAAACAGTTTGAGAAATTAAAAATTCACAATTTTCCACAAAAACTATTTCAGATTGTTTAATTTGTTAATTCACAAAAAAAGGACCAGCTTTAATACCATCTAATATTTTTTTTTTCTATTTTTTTGTGTTGTATTAAAAGCTTTATTTAAGTCTTAGCATTCAACTATCAGAATTGTTGGCGTACCCAAATGTTTTATTCAAGTAATGTCCGTACTTAGTTGCTTCCAAACAAATCGAAATAATTATTATAAGATGCTCCTATAGGCCTATTGGCTTCCAAAAACCAATTAAAATGGCACCTGATCTGTTTAACCCAAAAAGGAACATAAAAGCTAGGGGATATCTCCCCCCCCCCCCACACACACTTTAAAAAAATTAGATACTTAAAGAGATCATGTTTTGAAATATTTTCAGCACTTTTTATCTTATTTAATTTGGCTATTATGTGAACACAATTTTTGGTGAGGCAAGTTCAGCACTCGGTATACATTGCGTTTATCCTTTTGTGGGTTAATTTAACAAGTAAAATAAAAAGACATGCAAAGCCACCAAAATACACCAAGTGAACAAAACAAAATAAAATAAGTTAGTAGTGAAAACGTGCAATTAAACAGACAATACAAAAGGATATACACAATGTAATCTGAGTGCCAGTAACCTGTTGCAATGCATTAAGGAGTTTTCCGAGGGGAAAAAAGAAGAACCATTTAAACTTTTTAAGGTAGGTGAAATAAAAGTGAGGGGGAGAGGTCTTCAACAGTCCTTAAATTTTCCAACATATTGGTACATAGAAATTCCTTAACAATTCCCAGTGATTCTTTAATTTTTCAAAATGTATAAAATTCTTGAGTTTTTCTAATCGATTTAAAATTGTAAAGAAAATAACCCATTTTAGTTACATGGACATCTTAAATTTGTAAATTTCTCAAACATCCTAATTTTTTGGGAAGTGTTTAAAACTCTTGTATTTACTTAAATTAGTTATCTTTGAAGAAAAGAAATGCCCTATCAAGTTAAATGGCAACAGTGTTTTTGTTTCATTGGCAAATTGGCATGGGGCTTTAGCACTACCGCCAACACGCAAAATGTTCACTGTAAATGAGACTTCCTCTAAATTTTACTTTTTATTCTTCCTTGTTCCTTGAGTAAAACTAACTTAAGGAATTGGTAAAGGCAAGCGCAGAAAACAGGGTCATCAGTTCATCTGTTGGTCTTCCTTCCTTCTTTCTTCCGGTTCTTGGTTTCTGATGAGACCATCCTTGTCCATAAGAGATCAGCTTCGTCATTGTCCAGTCTCATCCAAGCTTGGTGGTCCTCATGTTCTAAAACATGACAAACAGCATAAGCAGGCAAACAAACGTTAGAACTTATATTTACAGAGGGAATCAAGCATTGTATACTTTGTAGGGGGGACAAAGTATCAAAGGAAAACAAATTGAACTCCTCATACCTTGGTCTCTTTCTTGCACCTCAAGAATTAGTAATGTCTTACTAAGCAAGGAGGGTCGGTCATCTGTCGGACCTCCCAGCTTCTGGTTCCTCGGCATTCATTTGTGGAGAAGCTTCATCCTCTTAAAGTCAACATGTAAGACTCTCTTCTATGTCAAGCATGTTACATCCAGTTGCAGAATCCATCTGGTTCAGTTGCAGAAGGTCCTTTATGATTTAAACAAAACAAAAAATAACGACCTAAGTTTGCACTCGTTTTAAGCGACAACACATCAAGAATTGTCAGGTGATTAGTCTTATGAGATTAATTTCTTTTCCTTGCAAGAGTAAATTCACCTCGGGAAGCAGTAATGGGAAGCCCAGCAAGCAGGGTCATCAGTGGGTCCTCCTCCCTGCTTCCGGTTCCTTGGTTTTGTCAGCATGGATGATGTTTTGAAATTGGGGTCATGTCCTCTCATCCACACCGACTGTAGCAGCCTCGTCAGCCATCCAGTCAGTGCTCCCGTTTCTAAAGTATAGAAAGGGGAAAGAAAGTTTGAATTAATCCAACAAACCAATGCTCCACCACCAATTCTCTTTCTCTGTGGAAAAACAACAAAATAGCTCAAGATCACCCATTTTGATTCGACTTACTCAGGTGTATTTGATTATAAACTAACCTCAAGAATCAGTAATGGGAAGCCCAGCAAGCAGGGCATCAGTTCATCTGTCGGTCCTCCTCCCTGCTTCTGGTTCCTAGGTTTTGTCTGCATGGATGATGTTTTTGAAATTGGGGTCTTATCCTCTCATCCACACCGACTGAAGCAGACTCGTCATCCATGCTCCCTTTCTAAAGTATAGACAGGGGAAAGACAGTTTGAATTAACCCAACAAAGCAATGCTCCACCACCAATACTCTTTCTTTGTGGAAAACACATCAAAAGAGCTTAAGATCACCCATTTTGATTCGACTTGCTCAAGTTTATTTGATTATAAACTAACCTCAAGAATCAGTAATGGAAAGCCCAGCAAGCAGGTCATCCGTTCATCTGTCGGTCCTCCTCCCTGCTTCCGGTTCCTAGGTTTTGTCTGCATGGATGATCTCATCCTCACGGACTGAAGCAGCTTCGTCATCCAGCCAGTTCTATGCATGTATGTCGGTACTCCTTTTCTAAAGTATAGAAAGGGGAAAGAAACCTTGAATTAATCCAACAAAGCATGTTCCACAACCAAAACTCTTTCTTTGTGGGAAAAAAAACATCAAAAGAGATCAAGTTCACCCATTTTGATTCGACTTGCTCAAGTTTATTTGATTATAAACTAACCTCAAGAATCAGTAATGTGAAGCCCAGCAAGCAGGTCATCTGTTCATCTGTCGGTCCTCCTCCCTGCTTCCGGTTCCTAGGTTTTGTCTGCATGGATGATCTCATCCTCACCGACTGAAGCAACCTCGTCATCCAGCCAGTTCTATATGCATGTCTGTCGGTACTCTTCTAAAGTATAGAAAGGGGAAAGAAACCTTGAATTAATCCAACAAAGCATGTTCCACCCCCAATACTCTTTCTTTGTGGGAAAAAAAACATCAAAAGAGCTCAAGTTCACCCATTTTGATTCGACTTGCTCAAGTTTATTTGATTGTAAACTAACCTCAAGAATCAGTAATGGGAAGCCCAGCAAGCAGGTCATCCGTTCATCTGTGGGTCCTCCTCCCTGCTTCCGGTTCCTGGAGTTTCTGTGTGATGAGGCTGTTGGAGCCTTGGAGGGTCCTATTCGTCCAGACAAAGCAGCCTAGCTCATTCAGTCTGTCTCCACTTTTAGATCCTCATATTTCTCCGATGAAAGCTGCAACTCTTTCCTAAGTGAACTGGGGTACGAAAACACTGGGCCTAGCCCGTTTGTTACTGAAGAGAAACATTCCAATGCAGCCAATAACTATGTTTAATATATAAGCTTACCTGAAACCTTTGAAATTAATGATTTTACCCGTGTTTACCATGCATGTTTATTTCAATGTTTTCCATGATTTTCTTTTAAAAACAGACGATTATTTTGTTGTAATGCACACACAACGTGCCGCCCATAATGTACAAAAATGTGTCGACACTAAATGCAGTATTCTTTCCTAATGCATCCTGCACACGTAAATAGTTCTGCGGAAAAAGAATTACCGTCTTAAAAATGACGATGTATAGTTACCGTAAATCCAGTCATTTTGTTCACCGACTTTTTTGTTCGACATGGCGATTATTTATTTATTAATTTTTTTAATACCGCTGTAAATTTTACCGTAATTTGGCGGTAATTTGGCCGTATTTTCCGCTGTTTTATTTGTTTTACTGTTTTCGTTTTCCCCACCGTTTTCCAAAATTTAATTTTCCGACTTTTTTTTGAAGCTAGCGGTGTTGCAGTTGCTACCGATCCGCTGCTTATAAGATTTTATCACAATTTCCGTCAGTTTTTCTGTAGCTCAGTGGCCACATTTTGCATAGTGTCGAAGTTGGGAAATGAGCAGCCTCCTCGCCTATATTTGTGACTGAACGGTTTTTGCCGCTTCGATTTTCGTCATTTTCATAGCCATCTGTTGGAGGCGGAGTAGTATTTCTACGAAAGAATTTATCCACGTAAGATGTGATTTTAGACCGACTTGATTTTTTTTTTCAATTTTCGTCAAATATTTGTTTTTCGACATGCCGATTATTAATTTCTTTTTTAGCACTGCTGTAAATTTTGCCGTTATTTCCGCTGTTTTATTTGTTTTGCTGTTGTCATTTTCCCCACCGTTTTCCCAAAATTAGTTTTCCGACTTTCTTTGAGGCTGGCGGTGTTGCAGTTGCTACCGATCCGCTGCCGATAAGATTTTATCATAATTTCCGTCAGTTTTTTCTGTGGCATGGCCAAATTTTGCACAGTGTCGAAGCTGGGAAATAAGCAGCCTCCTCGCCTATTTTTGATGTAATTTTCGTCATGTTCATAGCAATCTGTTGGAGTTGAATTTATCCATATACATATGGAGTTGAATTTATCCATATACAATGTGATTTTAGACCGACTTGATTTTTTTTCTTCAATTTTCGTCAAATATTTTTTGTTCGACATAACGATTATTAATTTCTTTTTTTAACACTGCTGTACATTTGGCCGTAATTTTGCCGTAATTTCCGCTGTTTTATTTGTTTTGCTGTAATTTTCCGTCTTTTTTTAAATCTGTGTTGCAGTTGCTATCGATCCGCTGCCGATAAGATGTTATCATAATTTCCGTCATTTTTTTTCTGTAGCTCAGTGGCCACATTTTGCATAGTGTTGAAGTTGGGAAATATATTTGTGACTGAACGTTTTTGCCGCTTCGATTTTGGATGTAATTCTCGTCATTTCCATAGCCATCTGTTGGAGGCGAAGTAGTACATGTATTTATACAAAAGAATTTGTCCACATACGATGTGATTTTAGGCCGACTTGACATTTTCTTCAATTTTCGTCAAATATTTTTTGTTCGACATGGCGATTATTCATTCCTTTTTTTAACACCGCTGTAAATTTTGCCGTAATTTGGCCGTAATTTTGCGGTAATTTTCGCCGTTTTATTTGTTTTGCTGTTGTCATTTTCCCACCGTTTTAGTTTTCCGACTTAGTTTTCCGTTTTAGTTTTCCGTGTTGCAGTTGCTTACCGATCCGCTGCCGATCAGCTTTTATCATAATTTCCGTCAGTTTGTTTCTGTAGCATGGCCACATTCTGCATAGTGTCGAAGTTGGGAAATAAGCCTCCTCGCCTATATTTGTGACTGAACGGTTTTTACCGCTTTGATTTTTGATGTAATTTTCGTCATTTTCATAGCCATCTGTTGGAGGCGAAGTAGTATTTCTACGAAAAGAATTTATGCACACACGATGTGATTTTAGACCGACTTGATTTTTTTTCTTTATTTTTTGTCCAATATTTTTTGGTTCGACACGGCGATTATTCATTTCTTTTTTAACACCGCTGGAAATTTTGCCATAATTTTGCCGTAATTTCCGCCGTTTTATTTGTTTTGCTGTTGTCATTTTTTCCCACGGTTTTTCCAAATTAGTTTTCCGATTCGCTGCCGATGAGATGTTATCATAATTTCCGTCAGTTTTTTTCTGTAGCTCAGTGGCCACATTTTGCATAGTGCCGAAGTTGGGAAATTAGCAGCCTCCTCGCCTAGTCTGTCTCCACTTAACTTTCACATCCTTATATTCTATGAAGGCTGCCAATCTTTCCCAAGTGTACAGGGGTGCGAAATCCATGGGTCAAGCCAAATTTTGTTATTGAAGTGACAAAATTACAATGCATCTATGTTTAAGATTACCTGTAACCTGGTCATGATTTTGACCCCGATGGAAACCAACGATTCTATGGTTACAATGTTTACGTCAATGTTTTCATTATTAATTGCAAACACAGACTAATTATTCATTTCAATGCACACAAAATATGTGCCAACGCTAATAATGGCAGGGTTGCCTTGGAAACCGCATGTAACTTGCACACGAACATTAAAGAAATTCACATGACCTTTAGATGACAAAATGTCATCTTTATCCTTGCCGATCCCTTCCAAATCGGACTTACATAAAACATATACGGCGGAAGGAGGTTATAGGCCCTAATTACAAAAAAAACCCCAGTAACACTAGACAAAAATGATAATGTTATTTCATGCGACCGTAAACGTGTCGGTGTCTTAATACTTTCTTAGGAAATCACGTATAGGCCCAAGTGTGGTATACTCATAGCCACACACCCATTTGATTGTCAATGTCATAAACCCATGATATTAAAAAATATCACTAATTACTAGTCTTTAACCTGCAGCTTTAACTCACTACCACAGCGCTGCTATTCTGGCAGTTAGTTTCCGAGTTTTTTCCCGCTGAATACATCAGCACTGAGATCAAGTCTCATTCCAAGCCGATGCTTGATGGCCGGCTTAACGTTATCAAAATAATGTCAACGTAAGACAACCAAATACAATAGACTTGATGAAAACATGTATCTCTGCCGATTTTTTAAATCGGCCTTACACAAATGATGTAGATGAACATTGAAACAATTACAAGAACACGAAGAAATGCCGCACGTCTTATACGTAAGTCGGCCATTTTCCTAAATCGATTTGTTTGTCACATTTAAGTGAGGTCTTTTGAAGTTAGGTCTTTTGAAGGCAAACTTCTCGACGATGTCACTAATTTTCTTTATTTTCGCTGACAAATATACTTTAAAAATGTGGTGCAGATCAGCGGGGAAAAATGCCTTAAAATACCGATGTAATTGAAAGTCGGTCATGCTCTTGTTCGATATGGTCATAATGATGTGATGTTTTCCGTAGTTTCCGTCATATTTAATTTTGTTTGCTGCCGTCATTTTTCACGCCGTTTGGCCAAAATTCGCTTTCCGACTTTTTGAAGCAGTGTAGTACCGGTAGTTGCTGCCCATCATAACTTCAGGATTGTTTCATCATAATTTCAGTCACTTTTCTGTAGCCATTTTTTTTTCGCATGACATCGAAGTTTCAAAAATTTACACCGATTTTCAAGTATAAATTTCTTTCTCGACCACTGTTAGGTTCATTGCCGTAATTTTCGTCGCTTTAATTTCGTTATTTTCGCAACTGATTTTTTTTTTTTACTTTGTAGGTAAGAATAATAACACTGAAATCAGGTATTATTCTCTCAATAGCGCTGTGATTTTCTTTTGGCCGTATGTTTCGTTGCTTTAATTTCTTGCCGCATTGATTTTTCTTCATTTTCCAAGCCACCTGTAGGAAGCAGATTTCTGCGAGAAGAAAATCCTCGTACGATGTGACTTTCGCAGTAATTTATTTTGCACCGATTTCATTTTTGTTTAAAAATTTTCGTCACATAACACACGTAGTCAAATATTTCGGGTAAGTAACGCAGTAACGGTAAGAAATAACACTGATTTCAGTTATTTCCTCCAATATAGCTGTAAATTTGGCGTAAAAAGTCGTATTTTCGTCGTTTTTATGTTTTATATTACTGACTTTGCAAAAAATGCAGTCTGATTTCTGATCCAATATTCTGCAAGTTAATTGTGAAGGTTTCCTTGTCCAGATACAGCTTCGTCATTGTCCAGTCTCGTCCAAGCTTGGTGGTACTCATCTTCTAAAACATAACAAAGAAAGTAAACAAGCCAAATTTAGAATTTATATTTAAAGAGGAAATCAAGCACCGCGTATTGTATAGGAGTGACTTACATGGTATCAAAGGAATAGCAAATTCAAGTTTACATATCCCGTCTCTTTTCGTTTTCAAAGTAAACTCACCTCATGAATCAGCAATGACCAGCCCAGCACAGTCAGTGAACCGTCGGTCCTCCCAGCTTACGACGGCTTGAGGCAGGCTCATCCTCATCTCAGTAGAGCAATTTCCTCTTCAGTTAGTGGTCCTCGTTTCTCTAAATGGATTCAAATAACGAAAGGAAATATCTGAATTATTATTTAGAAATATTGTGCAAGGTAGGGCTAGAGAGGGAAAGAAAACTTTGATTTCACCCCACAAAGCAACACCACGATTACATAAAAGACAGCCAGATCACCCATTTTGATTAGTTTCTGTGACTTGCTTGCTCCTGTTCAGTTTTAAGTACGTCTAAACTAACCTCAAGAATCAGTAATGAGAAGCCCGGCAAGCAGGTCATCCGTTCATCTGTCGGTCCTCCTCCCTGCTTCCGGTTCCTCGAGTTTCTGTGTGATGAGGCTGTTGGAGCCTTGGAGGGTTCATTTTCGTCCAGACAAAGCAGCCTAGCTCATCCAGTTAGTCTCAACTTTTAGATCATCAGATTCTTTGATGAAAGCTGCAACTCTTTTCTAAGTGAACAGGGGTAAGAAAACACTGGGCCTAGCCCATTTGTTACTAAGTGAAACATTCCAATAATTATGTCTAAGCCTACCTAACCAGGTCATGGTTATGACCCAATGGAAACTAAACGATTCTACCCAATGGGTAGAATGTTTCTTTTCAAACAGACATGAATATTTGTCAGAATGCACAGACATGTGCTGACGCTGATAATGGCAGGTTGCCTTGGAAACCGCATATAACTCACGCACTATAAACGAACAGTAAAGAAATTCACATGACTTAGAAGCGACAAAATACCATCTTAATCATTGCCGATCCCTTCCAAATCGGACTTACATTAAACATACGGCGGAAGGAAATAAGGAAATAAGTATTGCAGCGACTAAACACCTGTCGCATGTCTTAAGATATCTTCTCTTTAAATTTACGGTAAGTGTGTATTCACATATCCGCACAAAGATTTGATTGTGAAAGTTCAATACCAATGATAATATTAAAACTGATCCCAGGATTTAGCTATCTCTTTCACTACCGCAGCGCTGTTATTTTGGCCGAAGAGTCTGAGCTTTTTCCTCGTTGAGTACAACAGCCCTAATTTTAAGTCTCATCCCAGCCGATTCTTGATGTTATGCCTTACGTTATCGAAGGTCAAAGCAAGACTACCAAAAGATCTTTCCAAATTGGACTAACAAAATGATGAACATGAAATTGGACAAGTTACAGCATGAAGGAAATGTCGCATGCGACTATAAACATGTCGCACGTCTGACAGCATACCCCTACACATTTTTGTTGTTGATTTTACGAAGTTTGACATACACAGATGCATACCTCGGTTTTTGCTATTCGTTTTCTTCGTAGGCAAACTTCTCGAAAGTGTGCAACAATTTCCGTTATTTTTTAAGCCGAATGTACCTTTATGATGTGTAGTTCTGCGGGAAGATTGTTTTTAATGTCGCTGTAATTGCCGTAAATTCCGTCACTTTAACATTTGTCTTTGTTTCGAGATGGTGATTATTTTTTGCTCCCGCAATTTCTGCCATTTTAATTGTTTTGTTGCTGTCGTTTTTCGCACCGTTTACGTTTTGTCAAAATTCGCTTTCCGACCATTTGTTGAAGCCGATTAGATGTTCATTAAAATTTCGGTCATTTCTATTTTTATATTAAATTAACACAGATTTCAAGTACTCTTCTTTCACCGCCGCTGTCAATTTTTTTTACCTGTAATTTTCGTACTTTTAATTTTCGCCACTTTGATTTGGGTATTTCCGTAACCGATTTTGTTTTTATTTATTTGTATGTACGAAAATAACACTGTTCTCGAGTATAATTTATCTCACTAGCGTCGATTGTTTTAATTTTGTATTTTTTTTTTAGATATTTCTTTTTCCATGTCATGGTCGCTGAACATTTTTGCCGCTTCGATTTTTGGTGTCGGTCTCGTCATTTTTAAAGCCATCTGTTGGAGGCGGAGTAGTATTTCTACGAAAAGAATTTATCCACATACAATGTGATTTTAGACCGATATGAATATTATTTTGTTTTCAATTTTCGTAGCAGGATCCTATCTCCACTTATAGATCCTCATTTTCTTCGATGAAAGCTGCACGTCTTTCCTCAGTAAACAGGGGTAAGAAAACACGGGGCCAGGCTGGTTACTTCAGTAACATGACGTTACTGAGGTGAAACATTACTATACAATGTACATCCAATGACTATCTATCAGCTTACCTGTAGCTGTCATGGTTAACCACCCTGTGGAAAATAACGATTGTACCCGCATACTTACAAAGTTTACTTCAATTTTTTCAATTTTTGCTTTTGAAAACACACTACATTATTCGTTTCACTGCACACAAAAATGTGTGTCGACGCCGACAAGTGCAGGTTGCCTCGGAAACCGCATAATAACTCACCAACGAACATGCAAGAAATTCACATGACTTTAAGATTTCAAGATGCAATCTTTATCCTTGCCGATTCCTTCCAAATCGGACTTACGTTAAACATACGGTGGAAGGAGAGTTACATCGTCGGCCCTAATTACAACACTAAAAATGAAATGTGTTATTATGTGACTCTAAACACAAGGCGACTCTACACGTGTAGCGTGTCTCACTTTCTTTGGAAATTACGGTAAGTGCGGTATGTTCATAGCCGCACAAATCAATATTTGATTGCGAATGTCATGACCCGATGATATTAAAACTATCAATGATTGCAGGTCATTGCTAACTCAATACCACAGCGCTGTTATTTTGGCCGTACGATTCTGTTCTGATCCTTGAATAAAACAACACTGATGTCAAACCTCATTCTAAGCCGATGCTTGATGATCGGACTTGCATTATCACAGGTCAAAACCAAATAAGTAGGATAAAGTACACTTTATCCTTAAAGTCCCTGCCGATCTTTCTATATCGGACTTACAAAAAAGATGAATATGAAGTTTGAAAGTTACAACATGAAGAAATGTCGCATGCGACCATAAACATGTCGCACGTCTGACAGCATTCCCCCCACACATTTTTGTTGTTGATTTCACTAACTCAGATTCATACCTCGGTGTTTGCAATTAGTTTTCTTTGTAGCCAAACTTCTCGAAGATGTGTTGTTTTGTTGCTGTCGTTTTTCCCACCGTTTTGCAAAAATTCGTTTTCCGACTATTTGAAGCCGATTAGATTTTTATCAAAATTTCCGTCATTTTTATAGCCAATAATATCAGGAAAATTAACATCGATTTCAAGTACAACTCTTTCGACGCGGCTGTTGGTTTTTGCCGTACTTTTTGTCATTGTAAATTTCGCCACTTTAATTTGGGTATTTCCGTAACCGATTTTTAAAAAGAAAATATTTGTAGGGATAAGAAAATCACACATTTTCATTGTTTTTTGATTTGCAGCAGATGGGATGTGTTTCAAAATTTCCGTCATTTTCATTACGGTCAATTTATTAAGAAAATCAACGGCGAATTCAAGTACACATTTTCTTTCGTGGCCGCTGTTAAAGTTTTGGCATTAGTTTTGCCATCATTTTCGTCATTTTAATTTTCGCTACTTTGCTTTGGGTATTTCAGAAACCCATTTGTGTGTGTGAAAGACACTGTCAAGTTTAATTTCTCTTACATGCGTTACGTTTTTGCCGCTTCGATTTTTGACGTAATTTTCGTCATATTCATAGCCATCTGGTAGAGGCTGAGTAGTATTTATACGAAAATAATGTATCCACATACGATGCGAGTTTAGACCGTTTTGATTTTTTCCTTCATTTCGTCAAATATTTCGGGTACCATTACAGTTATGGTTAAAATAACACCGATTTCTGGTATTAATTCTTCCAATACCGCCATAAGAAGTCTCGTATTTTCGTCGTTATCTTTGCTGCTTCGGACCGTTTTTTTCCCCGACGTATTGCAGTTGAGAAAAAAATAACACTGATTTCAATTTTTTTTCAACATCTGCGTTAATTTTGCTTTGCTGATTGTCGTTTTCGTAGCCGCAACGATCCGCAACGATTGAGTTTGTTAAAAACATTTTTGGTTCTTGTTCTTTTATCAAAGACACAAGAGACAGAGATAATAAAACAAATAAAATCAGACCACACAGAAAGCAATACACAATGGCAACACAATACAATACACATTATCATGAGCAAGCACCATAGAATTGGATATGATAAAGTGGAAAGCATGCAACATGTACAATGAAAAATACACATTTCGATAACTGAGTTTTTTTATAAATAATAATTTCTTCTGACATTAACCTCTTTTTACCGACAGTATGAAGGATCAGCCTCGTATTGAGGATAGCTCAGATATTGTTAATCTTGCCTCGTGCTCTAGAACATTTTATACAATCATAAAGAACTTTCACTGTCTGTACTTGTTCTCATTCATTTCTTGTTTCCAGTCAGACGAACAAAGGACCAGCCAATGTCCGTATTGATTGCTTAGATTTGCCAGGTCTTGAACATTAATACAATCATAAAGATGAGCAACGCAAAGGGAATGGTTACTTTATAGAGCTATCCCGATACCAATATACCTGCATTGTTATCTCTTGCGTGCAAAGTACCAGCCAATGTCCGTATCAAAAGGCAGTATTCCAGTGGATTGATAAAATATCACAAAACCACAATCAATCAATTACGAAATCAGTTTTAAATTTACGATTAAAGTTTCTGATACTGAAAAAAATACACCAGTACCTTCAATTTTAGGGGGAATATAAAATGTTTGACGATGTAAAAGGCACAGTGTCTTCATTTATTTAAATTTTAATTGATTTCGTTTGCATTTTATTCTTATTTTTAGAAAATTTCGGAACGAACTTTGAGGATTAGAGGATTTGAGGGGTTATCTGTAACAGAAAATCCGTTCGAAAACGTATACCCATTGCGTAGAACTTAATACTAAGTACAATGACTAAGTACAGGAGACCCAGACCCCCTCCCTGTCCCCCAGCCCCTCCCATCGCGCTGCCTGCAGGCTCAATGTGCGCATGCTCGCAGCGGACTATGCTTTTTCCCTAATAACACTGTTCGTTACACCCTTCTAAACATTTCCCTAGATTTTATTACCGAAAATAATTATTGGAAGCGCAGTACACGAAATCGCGTGGGTACGGAGACCTACAGGAGACATGGAGATTTTTTCTTGTTACGTAGCCTATACGTGATATTATCACATACGTATAATGTACATGATAATGACACGTAGTAATGTTTTTATCGCATACGTACTTGATAATATAATACGAGGTACATGTCCGTACCTGAGCTGATAGTAACATGCACGTACGTCATAATATCACGTACTTAATTGTATTATGCGTATGTACGTGATAATAGTACGTGTGCAATTTAATTGCATATCACGTGATAATAAAACGTACCTACATAATATCTGTCACGTACGTGATATTGGTACGTACCTGACGAGTACACATCAGCACCTACATGAGTAATAATTATCACGTACGTACGTAATATTTATCACGGTAAGGCCTATACGTGAAAATATTACGCAAGTGCGAGATAATAGATTATTACTTACGCACGTAATAATTATCACGGTATGATAATTTTACGCAAGTGCGAGATCATAGATTATTACGTACGTGCGTAAAAATTATCACGCCTTTTTATACGTGATAATATTACGCAAGTACGAAATAATACATCATTACGTACGTATGAGTTTTCCTTGGATTTCACTTCGATACTTTGGCTTGGATTTCGTTCAGAACCGACAATTTTACCACCAAATCCTCGCGAATGAAAATGCGATAAAATGCGGTACGGAGGTTTCCAAACGAAAACGCGTACACGAATTCCAAGAGCATTTCGCCGAATTTTAACGGCCTAACCTACAACCTACACCCTCCTCACTAAGTTAACAAAGTAATGCAGCGGCTGCCTAGCGCTGCTAGCTGCTTATCGCATGACGGAGCTGCGTCTGCACCCCAACTTACCACTTACTCTTTTGCCCAGAATGCTGATTAGTTTAATTGCCTGATATATTTTTAGTTTCGGACACTTAGGTTGCATGGAGAACGTTGAATTGTCTATAAAAGGGAGTGGTTTAAAACAAGGAAGTCAATGTGACAATGCATGCAAGAGATACTGTCGCGGGTTTTCTCTCTTATTTTTATGTCCCCAAATTTTTAGATTTTAATTAATTTGTTTCATTAATTTTGATTTGATTATCGCGCGGTAACGTACTAATCCTAAACATACGTATTAAATCAAAAAAGGGCCAAATTAATTTTGCGTTATCAAGGCTTTTTATTTGCTCCATATTTTTGGAATTTTTCTGCACTGTATTTTTCTTTCTGTGAATTTTAAATCAATTATAAGTGAAAGTACTGGTGTAATTAGTGACGGTACTTCTGAATTATTCAGGGACAATTTAAAAAAAAATCTTCCACTGGAATACTACCTTTAGAGAAAAATTACAATATCTCAAAATGTTCTAAATAGGTCGAATGCGCCCGATCGGAGCTGGCTACGCTCACCAGCCATCAGACATCCGAGGCGAGTGTTTGTTGGAGAGGGCGCCCTATACTGGGCCTGCGACAAAAACAAAAAAAAGTCCAGAATTTGGACATGTCACTGACGCGTCTAACAATTCCTATGCAAATTAACGCACGTGCGAACACAATGTTACTGCACGTGCCATGAAAATTCCTTAATTGGCTATCGATAAAGTGGAAAGATTCCCATATCTGGCCATCATTAATTTTTCCCGCCATCAGAAAGTGATAAAACATGCATGTCCTAAAAAGTCAACTTTAGTAGGGACAATATTGAAGTGTTTATTGAGAAAACACTTTAAAATTTTCAGACCAGTCTCATTGGATTTGTGCACAGGGTGACAAGTGATGGCAAGATATGGGAATCTTTCCGCGGCATCTTTACAAAGTTCCAAAAAAAAAAAAAAAATTAAACCAAAAATTCCTATGCAAATTAGTTGCAGAAAATCGCTGAATTGCTAATTGGTACTGGGAAAAAAAATAGGGCTTACACTTTAATAGACTGAATAACATTGAATTAAACAGAATTTTACTCGTTCAAAATAACGGTTCCTTTCACTTTGATTCCTATAAATAAATACTTTAGACATTATGTTAAAAATTACACAATATAAAGCCATACATGTAGCACAATAAGTACCCGTACACTCTAAATGAAAGTATCATTTTCTGAATCACATCTCATGAACAGACTATGATTTGTTTCTTAAAGTAAACCAAGGTTCTGTAGAACCTTATACATACAATGTTCATTAATTAATGTAACGTACCTCTTCTACTCTTCTGAAGACGTGTAACTTTGCCCCTCTCTGCGCTGATCTTGGTGGAAGTGATGGCGATGTTTGTGCTACCAGCCAGCACCGTATAACACACATGAATGTTCAATTAAAATAAACTTTGGTAGCTGAACTTTTAAATTAGCTACGTATTATAGTTGAGTAGTACCCAGGACAGATATCCCGTGATATAGGAGTATGAACTGCACCAAGTAAACGTATAGGCAATGTATGAGTGTTAAGAGCTAGCACGAAAGCGTAGGCCTGCCCCGGCCCTGTACTGAAACAACTAGTCTAAGATGACGCCTCGCATGCTACACCTAGTGGTCAATGAGGCATGAATTTAACAATAGGTGAAGATATTCTAAACATGTTATTTGCATAATGTGCATCTGGCACAGGCCCGGGGTGTTTTAGAAACGAGAACCAGATATAGAATGTTAATGACTTAATCCTAAAGGGCGATTACTTTGGTCGCCAAACTTTAGTGAGAGGGGTGGCGTCCCGCGGTTTGCAATTACTGATCAACTTGGTTGAATTAATGTGCCTTATTCTTGAACCATATGAAGTTGGCACAGAATTTGGAAGAATTAAAACAATTGCTCATTAAAGTAAATTGTGGCAGACGAAAACAAATGTACTCCACTCTACTTTGGCGGGTTAAAAATAAAGACTTGCACAGAATCGGATCACAACCGGTTCTATAGACTTTGCTATATCGATCCGGTCGCAAAGGCCAAATGTTGTCTTCTTTTTACATAATGACCGGGAAAGAATGCAACAACCTATTTGTTTTTTTTTTTTTTTCAAATGAAAAAGGGCAACATTATTATGAATGTGCCCAAATCCAGTTTGGGTGTACAGGCCAAATGCAAGGAGTGGACAGTTGGCACAAATTGTCGCAATTTCCATTCAAATCTGTTTTTTTTCCTCCCAAATCGGGCCCCCAAAAAGGGTTATTTTTTTTGGGGGGGGGTATTTTTTTAGTCCCACGATTTAATCGTGGCGATATGTCTGTGGCTTATTTTCGAGTAGTAGGTGTGTAGATGGCGCCACCAACATCAAAATGGTCCTTCCTCCCCTCCCAAAAAAGTATTTCTGCAGCTAAACATTTTAGGGCAACCGTTAAAAAAAGAAATCAAGCTTCTAAAAAAAATTGGAAAAAAAATTGTGAGCCCCCCCCCCCCAGCCAAATTGTTATACCAACGCCAAGGACTCCATCACATTAGAAAACAATTGTATAAAATGTATGCATATATTCAAGGGCAAAAAAGGGTCACCCGATCTGTTCCCTCGGAAAGCAGAGATGTCGGGCTGGGCACCTTACTCTACGGAATAACCTCCTATACAGCAAGGCTCTGCACACGAGAATGTCTGATCGACACTGGGAATTTCTGATGGGCGTGGGTGGGGGAGGGGGCCCGGGAATGAGGCAGTGCGGAAAAGCAGATGTAGTAGAAACATTTATTTCAATGTTGCCATGTCCACACAATAAAATGCTACAAAGCCGTGTAAACATATTATACAGAGCAAAATGCAATGAATTATGTAATTGTGTATAATAATGTACATGGATCAATACTAAAACAATTTTACGACAACATTTAGGTATTATAGCGTTACGCTTTTGTACCCTAACCTATCGACAGACAAGTGGATTTGAATTAAATAGCTGTCCGCTTTTGAACTGCTATTGGAAAGTAAAAGTAAAATCTGCCTTTTTAATCGCAAAAAAGTGGAAAAATGAATGTTTACACCAATATCAAATTTGCTTTTCTGCTTTTTTGAAAGAAGAAAGATTTTCAATGACCGGTGTCGTATACACTTCCGAGGGGAGAGGGCGTACTTCAGTGGTCTACAGTATCCGTCAGTGATGGGAGCGGATGCATGATATCGTTTGCATGCGCTATGCACACGACGAATATGAACAGTCATTGCATTCATACGCGGTACATGTACGTACGTACATAACAAACATAATCACACATGCATAACGTCGCGGTCATCAACACAAGGCACCGGAAAAGCTAAGTAACATCGATCGCCTTGATATATCCATTGATTGCCGTGAAATAATTGCGCTGCATGCACACATCACATCTTTGGTTAATTAGACAGACTTTAAAAGGGCAAAAGATCAGACAATTGGTGAACCGGAAAAACGGCAGAGGGTGTACCGTGGATTGTCGCCTTTTGACGGTAGGCACCAACCAGCAATCATTGGCCCATGTCGTGGGGTCGTGCTACAGTGGTTTCGTGACATTACGACGTGTTCAATTCAATCATCACTGACTTTACAAGGCAACCTGATGATTGCCGTACCACAGGTAACTTGCGTGTGTTGAGGAAAGGGGTTGTAATCTCAAGTCAAAAGACAAACAACCGCTCGAGCCGCCCTGGAAAGTGATATTTTGAGGAGAGCAATGATCGTGTCATGATCGGGTGTTGAGCCCAGTTAGCGGGACTTCCGGATTTACTTGTGCCGAGTGAATGCCCGTAGACACGGCGCGTGTGTACACGTATCATGGCCGGAGCCGACACCCACAAGCGGGTTCAACACCTGAAAGATGTTGAAGTGCCAGAATGGATGATCAAAGGCAACAAGTTCATCAAATGGGAAGAGGTAAATGACATGCTTTTTTATTCAAATATTTCAAGAATCTAAAAAAAAAATTTCCATTCAAAATTGCAACATTGTGTGCTGTTTCTTACCATGAAGATACATGTAGGTCAAACGAAACTTGTAAGGCCAACTATAAAAATAATCCAGTCTGTCGTCCCGGCCCCACCCACTTCCTTTTTCATGCCCGCCTCCTTTTTTTCTGATGTTTTAAAATTAATTGCAAATATATTGTTAACATATTGCCTTATTATTTGTTTGCCAACCAAATTGTAGCTGTGTAGAATGGTTACAGCTCCTTTGAATTGAGCACAATTTTGTATAAAAGAGTTGAGAAAATGGAAAAATCCATCTGTCATCTTGGAAAATCGGAAAGAATTATGTTGCATCCTGACGCCAAATATTTTCATCACATATCTGATTGAAGGTCAGTCATTGCAAGAATGTTGAAAAAAACACATAAATCTGGGACCATGGAGCTATGCTGGGACTGAGAAACATTTCCAATTTAGTATGAAATACTTTGAAAATGCATTCAACTTTCCATAGACTTTGTACACAGCCAGACAGGTTGCGTCTGGATACTACATTATTTCTAGAAAATCTGCCACCTGTGAAAAAATAAAGTCATCTTCATAAAACCATAACTGACATTGTGAGTTACGGTTTTATGAAGATGACTTTATTTTTTCACAGGTGGCAGATTTTCTAGAAATATTGTAGTATCCAGACGCAACCTCTCTGGCTGTGTGAAAATTGTGACAGAAATAAGAATTGTTGCATTGTACATTAACACAATAGAATAAGGAAACCTTACTCTAGTACAATTTTAAATGCAATTTGCAATAAAGTTGCTTTCTCCATGCGCTTCCAACAAATTCAATTTTTTTCTCATAATAAATGTTTAACTTAAATGTTGTATTCTAACCCCAAAACTCCTATTTTGGGGGGAACCAGCCTACCCAGTGAGAATGTAATTAAAAATTGTAAAGTAATTTCAGTCAATGACTAAATATGGGCCCACTACTATTTTGCTTTTTTGGTGTCCTCATGTACATTGGTGTCCTCCATAATTTGCCTTGGTGCTCTCGATCATTTGCCTTGGTGCAATTTCCCATTCCTTGGTGCTCTTTGGTAAAAAAAAATTGAGCAGGTGCGGCAATAGAGGGCGCTGTTGGACCTACCGCGGAACATTTTGAAAAAAAAAAATTGACGCGCATGATTAAAATCGACGCGTGCGCTGACCAGAGACCGACTTATTTTTTTTTTTGGCCTAACTGATCTTCTAAAAAAAGTGGGTAAATTTAAAACCTACATCTTCAGTGGCACTCTTTAACTGAAAAAAAAATGGCATTGGCCTAGATACATGAAGCAGATGCCACTGCCCTGTCATGAAACCAGGAATAAATGTGAAATAAATATGGTGCTCAACACACTTTTTGTACACATTGAATTAACATATGAATATGTTCGAAATTTCACAAGCATTTTTTTGGGTCTATACTCAGACACCGATGGTTCAACGAACCCATTTTGTGAACACAAAAGTTTATGTTCTTACAAAATGTACTCTATTAATACACAGTGCACGAGTATAAAAACCATACGGCTTGGAAATTGCATCAACCGCCTTTCAAAGAACCAACCCAAAATACATAGAACAGCAAATAACCACTGATAGTGATACTACCATTTTATTGGTATTGGACATTTCTGGTCATAAACAGTCCAGAAATAAATCTCATCTACATGTAAAAAAAAGTACATACATACCGGTATCTCATCAGAAAAATAGAGTGCCTTCAAGTTCAATTTAGGTTGAACTCTCTTTTATTAATTTTTTTAAAATTTACCCTAATCGGATGGAGAAAAGCTAACCCAAGGTTTTTTTTTCTTGGCGAGGCTTTGGAGGCTTTGATCAAGACGTTTGCAAAATCCAAAATTATGCACCAGTGCTGCAGAGGTCAAGTAACGAACTCCCAAAGCTTTTATCAAATTATGATCCATGTAATTCAATATTGCCAATGCCCCATCTCATTGTCAATGTCATTTGTTGAGTGTCTTCAATTTAAATTGCCTTTATCAAGTGCACTTGAAAGTTTTAGCAATTGCTGGCCTTCAGAATTGAAAATTCAGCTTGGTTTTTTTTATTAAACTACCGGTAGGCCTATGTCACTGAAGGTTTTGATTTGTACTATGCACATTTGTGTACATGTTGTAGGGAGATTCCACACAATTGTAAACGTCATTGCCAAAACTTCATCATTTTGAAGCTTTTTATCTTTATTTTATTGAAATGACACAAAAACACCCAGTTTTAAAAGAATGGTTGTGTGGACAGTTTATAGGTTCCTACTTTTAAATGCTCTTTCCAATTAACGTCATTTTGTTTAAAACGCATTTAGTAGCCTATTTAGGCGCATTCCATGACTTATTCCCTGTAACCACTTTTTTTTTGCCGAAAATTTTGATTTTCGCAAAAGGCAAAATTTTCCAGTCAATTTCTGATTGTACTGCAAAAATGCCACAAATAGTGATTCATAAGAGTCATTTCAACAGTATTTGTACGATATTTCTTGCCGAAAACTCAATTGTTCCAATACACGAGGGATGTCCGGGATGTGTACTGGAGCGTAAATTATACAACAATTGGCCGTACACAGCGGCCAATTCAAGATCAACACACGGTCCGCCTCCATAGACTTTGTGTGTGTGTACAAAAGACACGAGGGATTAGCGTGTTTAGATATCACCCGGAGGCGAGTCAAGGCAATCTGGACGTCTTAACCCATCAGCCGTGCCTGTGTAAAAAAACCAAAAACAGCCAGTGCGTGTTATAACATCCTCCGACACAAACTGGTTAAGCCCAAACAAATTTTCGTGTGCGCCTTATGGCAACCCAACCTACTGGAACTTTTTGGAGGCCAAATTGCCGACTTAAGGCCAAATTGCCGACTTAAGGCCAAATTGCCGACTTAAGGCCAAATCTCAGACTTTTAATTGTCATATTTTGCAAAAATGAACAAAAAAATTAACTAATTAATAAACAGGTCAACTAATTAAATGCATTGTAAGGTATAAACTAAGTGTAAAATGATAGATTGGTAAACTTTAAAAAAAAAATGCAAAATAACAAATTCCCTGCCTACCTACTGGAACATTTTTGTGGCGTTACCGTAAATCAGCCTGAGTTATTTCTAATAGTAGTACAGTTTCTGTACAAGTGTAATTTTTAGATTCATATACAAAGCGTTTTTTTTTAATGGCTGGTTCAGGTTGTTGGGAGAGAGAATTTTTTTTCTTCATGTATATTTTTGGTAATGTTTCTTTTTCCTTTTTTTGGTACTGGATTTTGTTTTGTTTCTTAGGCTTTTATGTGGTGTATTTGTATCATGTTCAAGGAGAGCGTCATGAAATCTGCATTTTAAATGTTATGGTGATATTTCATAAACTACTTGCATAATTATGCAAAACTGATTCTTATACTGGTACCCTTTTGGAATTCATTAGCCTTTTTTTTTGAACTCAAATCAGGTTGCACTGTATAAACATGCATACATCATGTACGTGTACCTCTTTGGTGTCTGATAATTTTATGTTGGTGATTGGAAATTGTACAAAAGCAACTGCTCTATGGATCGTGAATTAATGATGTGACCATGGAATCAGCGTTTCCAGCCTGCGATATAAAAGTTATTCACTTTTGGATGAAACATTGAACACGAAAATCCACCAACATTTAGTTTTTGAATTACTTCTTCACAATATTATAATTATTGGCTGCCAGACAATAATTCGGCTCTTGAAGGGGGGGGGGGGGGGTATTTGTGCATAAAATGAAAGCCCTTTGTCTGAGGGCTGCAGACCTCCAGAATCGGAATAAAGTAGACGATAATCAACTGGTACTACTTGGCACGGTAACTGTAATGCAGTCATGCAGAATTAATGTGAAGGATCTGACATGCTGATTAGAGTATTGAACATGTATCGTATGCATTTCACCAAATTGAACTTGCTGACTGACCCAGTTTCAATGTTATCAATTGCACAAAACTTGGACGGATGTAAAGTAAATTGTACTGAACCATACCATTCATGTATGCAAAGTACGCTCTGTATATATATACATTTTGTACAAAATCTGAATTACATTCCGTAGGCCTACATGTGAAAAAGCATTATATAAAAGTATTATACAACACCTGAATAAATCCCCGTCATCTGATTGGTGGATCGTTGATCACATGTCATTGAATTATTCGTACCAATGCACAACGCGCGCGTGGCGCGCAGCGCACAGTGCAATGGAAGTAGGCCTACTATTGCACTGTGATTAGAAGTACCATTGCACTGTCACTGCACATGTTGCCGAAGGTGGCGCTGTGGTGTTTAAATTGGCAATAAAAGTTCTTAACTTATTGAACTGTTTAAGTTCTAAACTTATGGAAAAGTTTTAAATTGAGATAAATTGAATATGATAGTTCTCAACCTGTTGAACAGTTTGCATAAATTGAATATGATAACTCTGAACTTGTCAAACTTGTAAACAATTTTTAACTTGAATAAATTGGCTATTAAAAGTCAACCAATCAGATGACAAGGATTTATTCAGGTGTTATATAAAACAAATACTGAATGTTTCACGTTCGTGCAATAGAAAGAATAATTTCATTCGGTGACAGATGAAATGTTCCATTCCACTCGGCTTCGCCTCGTGGAATGGAACATTTCATCTGTCACCTCATGAAATTATTCTTACCATTGCACTCACAAACATTCATTATTTGTATACTATCCTGTCTGCATATCACAGGATCAAAGAGAATCACTATCTCATGTGTTGATTTTTGGTTACATACCGGTACATAGGTTACACCACACATGACCCAGGTGAATAAGTTACCGGTAGGCCTATAATATAAACGTTCAAAGACATTTCCTCATTTTGCCACATTTTTGTTTTACTGATGTAGAATTGGAAATTTTTAAGTTATTATAAATTT